CTGACAGGTGGGAAAGGTGGACGGAACCGCGGGCTCGCCAGAGCGTTGCGTCTATCTATTATGAGCGAGTCGTTGTATTCCAAATCGCGCGGAAAACATTTTTTCCCCCAGACTGAACGTGACTCGATAAGACCCCCCTTCGCCTGTGGACCCGAGCAGAAAGATCGTCGTAAGTGTTCGCGATTCCGTAGTGAGACGCAGGTCGACGTCGTAAGTCAAACAATTGTCGTAGACGTATATGTCGCGCCGCAATTGTCTACGACGCTTCTTTGTGTGTTGACTCGAGTCTTAAGCCTGGTGCAGACTGCACGCAGCAAGCAGCAAGCGTCAAGCAGCGAGGATCCAACACTGCTGAATTTTGCGGAAGCGTCAGCAGTGGCGTAGAAAATATCTCTTCGTTGATTGGCTGCTGCTCGACGCTTGCTGCTTGCTGCGTGCAGTCTGCACTAGGCTTTACGACAGTAACGTAAACGTTCACGACAATCTTTCTGCCCCTACCTCCCTTTCGGCCGGGGTAGGATCCCCCCCTTGTGAATTTCTCGGTCCTGTGTGTTGACACATGTGATACAGTTCTCGTAAGTGTCTTTTAAACTACTCCTCCTGAACCGTGTTGTGTCACAGCTGTCTGAATATCTTCAATACCGTCAGATATTCTCTTCTAGAAACCTATCCCGATTACACGCAGTCGACGGAAAGCGCGTTACACTCGCGTGTTTATGTGCGCGCGTAAAGCACCAAAAGCCGGATCAAGCGAAGCGAACAAACGTGAGCAACTTGCTTCAATAAGTGCGAACGAGGCCGTCGTACATCGAAGCGAATTGTTTATTCGTACCTTTCCGCGCTCGTTTGCTTGGTCTGGACGGCTTTGCATATCAGAAATATTACAAAAGTTGTTGATTTTTTAAAACGACTCTGTTAATTTACGTTGAAGAGAGAGAGAGAGAGAGAGAGAGAAAGAGAGAAAAAAGCCTGAGATTATTATCTAGAAGAAAAATAGCACGCGTAAACTTCGTATGTACAATACAAAGCTTCGTGCAAGACTTAGTCAGTAGTAATGCACGCTCGCTTGGGCAAGGTTTAAACTTACGACCCTACTGTGACGTTTCGCTAAATACTATAGCCACCCTAATTCCTCGGTTGTCACCGAGCCTTTAATAATGTTGTCAGCCGGTGCGTCCTCTTATTGTCGCCATTAATACAGAACGGATAATGCAGGATGTCGTAGGAATTAGGAAACCCTCGTCAACGCGAATGAACGTTTCGCCAATTGTACCGTACATTTGATCGGCAATTTAACCGAGCTAGTATCGTAGCTAACGAAAAAATCACCGATATCTAATCTATTGCAATCTCTGAAAGCAATGTTGATGCGAAAACTCTGTCCAAACTAAAATATATGCCTGTTGCACATATTTCGACTGATGTTTGATATTAATTATCCGCTCCATAAAATTCAACCGAGAAAATGTAATTTTACATCTTTTATCGTTCTTTCCAGAGGTCCATCGATCAAATGCGTAAGTGCTTCGCTTCGATTGATCGTGCTTAAAAACAAATTCGACGATCAATCATGTTAAGTAGTCAAAGTATCGTCTACAACCAAGCGAGTGCATAAGCTAAAGTGTTACGTTCGATATAGCGCCTGACCTTTTATTATTGGAAGTCAGATAAGTCCTGAATATTTCAGGGAAGCCCTTCGTTATAATCGGTTAAAAAAGAAACTATCAATTAAAACATTAGACCGCAGACTAGAGAAGATATATAATATGTACTAAATGTCATATCTAATTTTATATCGAGTCCCCCTCAATTATACAAGGAACAGTGTATATGTAGCGAGGGGGAAACCGCTGAGGGCATTGTGGTGTACAGATTTGCGGCATTACTGGGCATTAGTTTGGGCATTAGGTCTTGCTGGGGCAATAAAGATAAAATAAACTAAAGTAAGGTAAAACAAGATGAATAAGATAAAATAAGATAATAAAATTAAGTAATGCCCACTGGGCATTAGTGGGCATCGGTGTACAAAATTTTGGTCAGTGATTTCCCCCTCGATATATAAACTAAGAAAAATGTTTGATTAAATATAATTGGATAATCCAATTACATAATAACAAACGGATATATCCGATGAAATATGTGGTCGGTTTTTCAATCAAATTTCAACGGTAACTGCATTTCCCAGCGGATAAATTTCATCGGACGTATCCATAATTTAATCGGACAACGTGATCGGAAAAATTAACCATCGGAAACACTATTTAACAGGTTTATCCGATGAAAATTTTCCGATTTCCGATTAAATTATGGATACGTCCGATGAAACTTGTCCGCTGGGAAATGCAGTTACCGATGAAATTCGATTGAAAAACCGATCATATTTTTCGACCGGATATACAATTTAATTGGATATATCCGTTTGTTATTATGTAATTGGATTATCCGATTATATTTAATCGGATATTTTTCTCAGTGTGGTTATCGTAAGTCGTGCCATTGTATAACAAAAGTATAATATTGAAAATGATTCATTTCGGATTGATCCTTTATCAATAACGGGTCTAATCTTGCATATCAGAGACATTAATGTATCCGCGTTATATAGAAATTAACGATCCACCGTACGGCTTGAAACCATAACCGTGGTACGACGCTCATTAAGCAAACGTCGTTAACAACGCGGTAATCGCCAACGTTAGACGGCTGGTCAATTAGCCGAGCAGATAATTTGCCGCTTAGGAGACGACTCGAGTCGAGGATACGTGATCCGATACACAGCGCGAAAGTGTTCCTGCATAGAGACGCAGCTTCCAATCGCATTCGTATAAGCGCAAAGATATAAGCGCATCCATTTTCCTCCGCGCGGAAACGGATGGTCGGTATTGACTCTCGTTTCAATATTCAGCTTCTTGAATAAAACAACAGCGACTGACCGGCCGACCGACCGCGACCCTCCGACACCGAGCCACCGGGTATATCCCGAAGATCTCGCCGCGCTGCATCAGCATTCGTCCGTGTCGACGAAAAAGATAGCCCACTTGCATGCCCATACCTTGATAAACACCTGATGCAACGTCGCGATCGTTTCTGTGGAAATAGTACGCGAGATTCGCGACCGGAATACGCGAGCGATCGATCCGCCAATCTTAACCGCACACCGCGCCGACACATTTGGCACAGTTTCGTTAATCGTTACGTCTTTCTTTTACGCATATAAATAACCCAACAAAAACCGTGTTAACGTTTAATCAAAATTTCCACGTATACCTTTCTACCGAGTGAGCTAATAAATTCATGTCAATTTGAGTCAAGAATAAATTCCCACCCGACAGGCATTTCTAATTCCGTACGACTAATTGTGTAACCTATAGTTTTATCACTATAGTAACGTAGTCGTGAAAAAATTTATGGGCACTACAAGTGTACAACTTGTAATTTTATTTGGGAATCGGTCATTTCTATCGCGTATCGCTTCGTTTCTATCGTGCATCAATATTTCGATTTTATTTTATAAAATACTTTTACGCCATAATTCAATATAATGTTGCAGCAAAATACGATGCAAAAATATTCAGATTACTTTTCAAATTTTATTTCCTTTTTCTAAATGTATGTAATATCGCGGAAAAATAAATCAATGCTAAATATTTAAAGACAGTTTTACTTTCTATTAAATATTTATTTATACTCCTCCGTTATTAAACATATTGAGAAAATAAATTTTGAAATATAATCTATTAAATATCAAATGTAACCAAACGTGGTTTATTAAACATCGCAATACATATATAATCATGGATAGATAGGCCACAAAAGATTAGTATAAAATTGTGCGCGCGAGAAGAATAAATGTATTCAATCATTTTAGCATACTTCATCGTTGCAGCATAAGCTGCTTATTAAATAAATTACAAGGATTGTGCCGATTCTAAAATATTTCCCACGCTTTTATTTTTGCGAGTGACGCGTGCGTATTAAAAAAATGTTAATACCTATATGTTTTCTTACTCTACACCGAGCGTGCAATATTTAATCCTGAAAAACTATAGGTGGCCCAAATGCAGACTTGGAATTTTCGTAAAAGAATATTCGAGAAGAGAAATAAAGAAAAAAACACATTAATACAGTTAAATATTTACAAGTTTTTCTCTAGTGCATTTTATACATAATAATTTAACATATGGACGTCTTGCGATCTTCAGGAAATACGAGAACACGATGACGAGAGAAAACTGAATTAAAATTAAATTAATGTATATTTATAATCAATGTACGTTTACTCGGAACTGTAAAAACTTCTTCTATATCATAAAAGCACGTTGTGTCGCTGTATTTGTTACAAAGTTGTAGCTCAATTCTAATCCTTTCTCTTTATTTCTCATTTCTCTAAATAATCCACTTGAACACGTTCACGTTTAATGAAGATGCGTAATACGACAACGGTCTAAGCGATATTACTTATGTATCCAATTCTTCTAATATACTCAATCGCGTTTAACATCGGACAATGAAAAAAACATACTGGGGAATTGAGTGTTGACCGCAATCGATTGTGGCCCATCTATATTAAGGCAACGGATTCGTGAAACTCGCCACATTTTTGTGTCACGTTACAATTTGAAATGCCGATACAGATAAAGATAATTATCTTTCAAGATACACCGTCCTCATCGAATGACTCCGTTGCCCTAATGTAAAATAAAATATCGTTCGACTCACCGATACGATGTGAAGCAACGGAGTTGCAGAACTGCTGATCTGTAAAACAGAAAAAGATATTCGAATTGTAATAAATGCGATCAATGCCTTATTACATATTTTTAAGTATGTATATTCTGACGACCATTTCGTGCCAATATATTGTCGCAATATAGGATTATATACCGCGATATTTAATAAATATACTTGACAAAGGGATCAAGTAAAGAAATAATGCACAGATATTAAATTACCTTATCGTTGCTCCGTTGATGCCCGATGCCTCCCCCAGGCCGCCTCCTCCTCTCAGGCCTCTCGGACGCACTCGTTGCCAGCCGTTCAACTCGCACAACACTCCCGAAAATACGATCGCGACACTGTAAGGCCCGGTCTACAATGAGTCGTTAGTCGTTAGTCAGAAGTCGCAACTATATGTTGATCCTTTTCCTTTCTGGGTGGAAGAAAAAGGACCGACATATAGTTCCGACTTCTGACTAACGACTAACAACTCATTGTAGACCGGGCCTAATACACGACACTCCCGGTAACGCGACGCGCACTCGGTTGCGTTTAGAGTCAAACGTTCGATGTACGTTTACTCGGAACTCGCGTTATACGTTTCGGTTAGACACACGCGACTTCGCGACGCCTCCTCTCGGACGCCGAACTCGCGCAATATTCCCGAAAACACGATCGCGACACTGTAATTTCCGACACCCCCGATCCCGCGAAACGCACTTGGTTACGTTGTAATTGCACAATCGTCACGCACGATCGCCGTTGAGCGTGAAAGCTAATCAGCCCCGCGATTCAACGTCACCGCTCGCTCGCGACGCAGCAGGGCTGCTTCGTAAACGGGGCTTGCGCCTCTCCGAGGCACGCTTGGTACAAAGTTCAGGCCTCTCTTACCTATTTCACCGAGTTCCTTCGTGTCGCGAACACGCCGGGCCTTCCGCTAATCGCCGGCATTAGGAGCGCGTACCGTTCCACGATCTTCTTCTGTCTCTGCGCGCGAAATCCAGCCGAGTCGCCACGATCGCGGCCGAACGCGGCCGGAAACGAAGACGCCGCGCGGCAGCGTCGCATTTCCACCCAGGGCCGTGAAAATTAATCGCACTGCGTTCGAAGGTCCGTTTTCGCCAACGTTGTTCAAGTTTCAGCTCGGCTCAATTCGTTCTTCGTCCCTTTCCAACTGTTTCACCTCGGAGACGAACGTGAATTAAACGAAGATCGAAGTTAGGCGACGCTTGGTGAAACCGGGCCGATGTCTCAAGCGCGTTGATTGGCCGCTGAATTTCTAGACACTCGAGTCGCCGCGATCGCGCCCGAGAGCGACCGGAAACGAAACGATCCCGGGCCATTCAATTACCCCACGTTCTAACCGCGCGAAAATTGAGAGCACACTCGCGGACTTGTTGTCGCGATCGCGTTACGAAGGAAACTGAGACGATCGGGGCAGCGCGGCTCGCGTAACCGCCGGTAGACAACCTTGACCTTGCGCGTCGCGCGTAGTGAAAACCGTCGCGTAAAAACAACGTCGTGCGCCGCGCGAAGTGAATTCCGAGAATGCCGTGTGACAAACAACTTTTTGCCTTTTTGACGAGCTACCCGGCGAGATGTTTACGTTTACCGTACAGCGAAGTAAATCCTGCCGAATATTCAGTCTATCGCGTTTCACATTGACTGCGTGATTGCATTACACGTCGACACATTATACGGATTTTCGCGATTTAAATTATACAGTTAATCGTGTCGTGTCGCGATTTTACGCCGGAAACGTACCACCTGTATTCGGGGCGATGGAAAATTCCACGCGCGAATAAAAGTCAAAGGGACGATTACGATACCGTAGACGATACGATGAAACAATTCGCTTCTACCTTTATTTCGAGTTAACACATTTTCAAGTTTTAGCTGTGCTCGCGCATACGCATCGATTCCGTAGTTAATCAATCGGCGATAAGCAGCCGGTCGTTTTAACAATCGTAGATTACCACGTTTAACGTTCGCTACGATTTGTCGCGAACACATTCTCGCGGTGTAATACGACACGCGGAGCGACGTGCGCCACGTCCTGTCCGTTCGACCCTCGCGACGCGAATGATAACGCGCCGCGGCGCGACGACTGCGTGCGTGCGGCACAGGGCGGCCGCGTGATACCTGCCAAAAAAAACAAAGAAGGTACGTATGCCTGTCCGAAATAACGTAAGCCTAATTATTACATTTGTCGCGCGACAAATTAGCCCTAGGCTGCTATTACGTTTTATCGCACGACAAATTGTTCAAGCGTGTCGATTGATTGCAGGATAGAAAAGTTGTCGAGTATCTAGAAATTTTCTAGCTTGTGACAAATGTACTATTAGCCTTAGGGCGGTATTACATTTGTCGTACGACGAATTTTTCAAGCGTGTCGATTGGTTGCAGGATAGTAAAATTCTCGAGTGTCTAGAAATGTTTTATTCCGCAGTCGCTCAACATACTTGAAAAATTTGTAGTACGACAAATGTATCTACGTGCTTAAAAAAACTTGTTGTACGACAAATGTAATAGTACTCTAAGATTGGTATTACAGTTATTGTACGACAAATTTTTTAAGCGTGTCGATTGGTTGCAGGATAGAAAAGTTGTCGAGTATCTAGAAATGTTCTAGCTTGTAGCTAATCTACGTGCTTAAAAAATTTGTTGTACGACAGTTGTTGTATTACAGTTATCGTACGACCAATTTTTTTAAACGTGTCGATTGGCTACAGGATATTTCTAGAAATTTGTTATTCTGCAGCCAATCAACACGGTTAAAAAATATATCGTACAACAAATATAATATTAGCCTAGCGTGTCCCAAGTAAACGTTACGAAATAGAAAATTCCATCCTTCATATTTCAAATTAAATACCTTGATTGATGCGCAAAAATTTAATTTATTAAAGCGTGCTGTGACATACACACGTTCGAGCACATACCTCGTCGAAAAATAGTCTGTGAATGTAATTAAACACCGTCTTTACTATTTCTATCTCCTGTCGCTTCGACTTTCTCAACAGCCAAAAGTGATCGGCTTGCTCCAAGTCGATCTGATATTAACGTGTCGATGAATGTTCCATACCGAATAATTGACATTTGGATATTTTTGTCACCTTCGACCACGAAAAAATTAAATATTGAGACTAGTATATTATAAAACAACCGCGTTAAGGTAACGGAATCGCGAGATTTACTTTATGTTATTATTAAATTGAGACACGTCCGTATTTTCAGATACACCGAGTCGAAATCTGATGTAATTTTTTCATAAATCCGTTACTTTAATATGACATAAATTATTTTACTCACCGATACGATGCGCAGCAACGGAGTTATAAATGCCGCAGGTTATATTAAACTGTAAAATACAAAAATACAAAACCATGTACAAGTTACGTCAAATCTTAAACGTCTTATTAGATATTTACGTAAAGTCTAAACTAATAAATTGAATGATAAATGAGCGTTAAATTAAATACTTACTCCTCGAGCGCTCCATCGTCACCCGGTGCCTCCTAAACCTCCTCCTCCTCCTTCTCCTCGCACAATCAGATGCACCTTCGCTGAAAACATATAGTACGTTTGAAAATACGATCACAATATTAACACGATACTCTCAACGTTAAACGCACCGCGCTTTGTTACGTTACTTTGATGAATAACCGTCACTAAATTAACTAGTTACATTTTTCTTAATAATAATTGAAATTTGTAATAAAAGCCTAAAGTTTTAATTAAATAAAATGATTAGATCTAATACGAATTGAGAAATAAAATTAACTTTCATCTTGATCGAAACAAAAATTCATTAAATTAATATCATCTTAATCCATTGATGTAATCTTATCAATACAATCTTATCAAATGTTTGCACTCCGTGAGGAATAAAATTGTTGCGTAAATTAAAATATATGCGTCCTTTTAATAAACAAGAAAATAAGACTATATCGTCGCAAAAAAAGAACAATCTCATTTTCTTAATTTACTAAATGCCATTGTACAATTTCATTCCTTCCACGTGTGCGTATGTGAAATGCCAAGTATTAAGAAAAATGTAATAATTATAAATAAACTTCATAAATAAACAATTATTTGATAAAATTAAACTTGATTTCTCAAATAAACATTACATTTAGTAATTCTGTTTGGAAGAATTAATTAATCATTTTACTTTGCATTTTAAAAACGACCAGATAATTTACATACGGCAGATACAATTTGCCACTAGTAAACAACTTGTCTATATATACACGGCGCCCTAAATGCCTTATGAAGTCGCATCAATTTTGATATCTGGGACGTACATATTGCTACTGGATATTTGCACATCGTGATTCAGATTTCTGCGACAGGTTTAACATTTATTACCGTTTCACGTGTGCGAGAGATTAAATATAAAGATCAAACATAAGATTCGAAATAAACAGTTTAAGCAATATTAAATTAATCAATAGAAATGTTGTTTCACATTCTTTTAATCAACAATCGCGATGCGCACGTCCCAAGTATGTATTTAACGCAGCGTTACGTGAAGAGACGTTTGTGACAAAAAAAAGTCAAAGTATCGAGCGATAAAAATTGATATATCGCCTGTCTAATAAAAATCGCACAGCAAATGATAAATGCGTAAAGTTACGTTTAAATGCAAAAATTACGATATATGATACTTGGTCAACTCGATCATTGATAACGAAAACTGTTACAACTGTGATAGACGAAAGTCCCCTATTATGATATAGGCTTCTAATACGAGATAGCAGGTTTCCAACGTCAAAATTCAATGACAAATCTCTTCACGCAACGATTACGCGACCTAGCAATGCATTTTTCACTAAACAAAATTCACTCCATACTACATTTATGATGGAACAAACAGGTAATGCCTATTAATTTAGCGGAAACTCCGCTATCTCCCGAGCCTATCTCATAATAGGGGACTTTGCTCTATTTCTATTTTTTAAATTAAATATTCGTTTAATCCTTCAATGAATCGCGAAAACGGTGGTGACACAGTACACGCGTGATACCGCGACAGCTGAAAGTATCTCGATTATTGAAAATAAAGACGAGAAAGCTTTCTCGCAATGAGATTTCAGGAGGGCGGCGAACGTGCAGACGACCGGCGTAAAATTTCGATTCGGGCCGAGCAGAAATCGAGCACAAAGCGCGCAGGGAGGGGGAGGGGGGGGGTGAGGAGGGAAGAAATTGAGAGAGCGATCCGACTTGCGGAATCGCGACGACTCGATAGTTTGTCTCCTGGAAATGACTAAAGCCACTTTTGCGAAAGTACCTACACGTACGCGCCGTACATACGTCACGTATACGGATGCATTATATGTATCTCGTTTCGGCTGTGCGAGAGTGTGTGCGTGTATGTACGTGCGCGCGTGTGCGGCCGCGTGTGCGGGACCAAAGCCCCGACTCATATAGGAGTGTATTTAGATTTTAGGATGCACATGGGAACGTGCGAATCCGGGTGGCGCGGTAACCCGTATTAGGGTCACGTGCAGATTTGCCGAGGTGAGACCCTATCTTATGCGTCCCACGTACACTCATCTCCGAATCAGAAACCCGTCATAAACGATGCAAGGCCCATATCCTTCCCCGAGACCCGACCTCGCCCTGCGCCGAAATTCCACCAGCCCCCTCACGTGAAAGCCCGCGCGCGTGATATACCCGCGACGCGGGAAATCAGGCTTGCCTCTCGCCGCCGCCGCCGCCGCAGCAGCTGCGTTTCCGGCTGACTGGCAGAAGGCAGTTCAGTAATAATTGAAACGGCGACCCGACGGCCGCTCGTTTATGTATACTTTAACGATACCAAGATTAATCGGATGCGTGGAGAAGCCGCGAGTGCGGGGGTGCGGTTGGCTAGAAACGGGTCTACTAAATTTGTCAACTCTCGGAAGCCCCCGACGAGCCTGAGAAGGGACCGGTATTCATCAACCTGACTTACAGGAATCTTATTCTCCCACCGCGACTGTCTTATCCAACCGTGGATCGCTATTTTTTTTCCCCCCACCCGAACGATCGCCCTTGCGCCCAGATGATATTTTATATCCGACATCCGCTTGTATTATAAAAATCGTGCGCGGCCGCACTAACGGCAAAGAATCGTCAGATTGAACGAGCGGCCGCAAATTTCGGCGGTCCTTCGACGCGAATCCGCGCATCGAGAGATATATATGCATACATATATACAATATATATATATATATTGTGTATATATTTCATTCGCTCGTTTGTGAATTCGAGGAGAGTAGAACAGGGTGCGTGATCGATCGGCGTAGACAGTATATCAAACGTGCATCCATCCATCCAGCCTGACTACTATAACATAGAGTCTCGAAGGGGGACAAGAATATCCTATTTCCGGGTGTTTTATCGACGGCTGTTCTCTATGCTTTGCGAATCACTGCAGATCGTGTTTTGAACCGTATCATTCGTTTGTCGAATATCCCCCCCCGACCAGCACGCGCATCGAGCACGACGTAACGTACACACGCATGCACGCGCGCATTCTTCCCGAATTTGCATTTTCATCGTGCATACGCGCAGCAGCATTCGGCAAAGGGACGAGCCCCCGTTGTTTTTCTCGCACACCGGGGACAGCGTTTGTGGACTTGGCGATATTTCTGGCTGAATTTGCCGTGCAGTCGCGATACATCGCTCCGCGTCCGGATATATGTAAGAATAACACGCGATATAGAGAACGCGAATATGCGAAAACGCTCGTTCGTTGTATACATTATTTGGAGAAAAAAAAATCGCGAGTAGTCACGTGCAGTGCTCCTCGGGCAGTATGCATTATGCTTGAGGAATTTATACATTTGCACGCGAACGTATAATCGCGTGCGGGATACCTCGCCGTTGTCTCTTACAAAATCGCTTATTGTATCACTTACCGAACAAAGAGTTGACACAGGGCTTTCGGGATCCTCTCCTCCGCTTTTATCCCACGTTCGATCTGTAACGAAAAGAGTGAAACCTATGTAGATTTGAAGAATTTTGCCGGGAAGACATAAATCATTCTGACTGAGCGATTGCGTTCACATGTAGAACGTTGCTAGAGTTAAAGTTTCATCAGACAAATCTCTCAGGATAAAGAGTCAAAATTTCGATATGAATGATAGTCCCCCGTCGAATTTTCCGAACACGGGGAAGTTAATTTCGAAAGAAACCCGTGAGAAAAGTTCCCCTCGTCGGTTTGCTCTCTACAAAAGCTCCGATAGGGGGGAAAATTGGCAAAACAACTGTACGAAAGTCAAGTGCGAGCCAATAAAAAAAGGGGGGGGGGGACCGTATGCAACCATATAGAATAAAATGTTGATTTTATTCTGTATAACATAAGTGAGAGTGGTTTCGAACCGTCATTTGACTTATTACATCTGTAAAAATTACACTTAAAAAAATTCAGTTTGTCATTAAAAATGTGTTAATTTTACACAAAGTTTATTTCAAGTCATTTTGAGATTTGCATTTATTTTGTGTTAAAATATTAACAGGGTATTACTGTGATCATTTAACATATTATGTTAAATTAACACAAAAATTTGTGTGGACCGTTTGGGACATGTTGATATCCGTTAAATTTAACACAAATTTTTCACCTGTGTAAAAAACTTGAACGTAATACTTTGGTTTTAGGAAAGAATCGAGCACCTCTGCGCGACTTCGCGTACAACCGATCCGTTGTTTCGCTCATTCGGAAAAGTAAATGTATTACTTTCAATCATCCCGCTATTCTGGAACCTTGCAGATATCCCCGAGGAACTAATCGTTTGCATTTTTTTTTGTTGGTTCCAGAGTTAAAGTTTCATCAGACAAATCTCTCAGGATAAAGAGTCAAAATTTCGATACGAATGATAGTCCGCCGTCGAATTTTCCGAACGCGGGAGAATAAATTTCGAAAGAAATCAGTGAGAAAAGTTTCCCCCGTCGGTTTGCTCTCTACAAAAGCTCCGGTAAGGGGGAAAATTGGCAAAACAACTGTACAAAAGTCAAGTGCGGGGCAATAAAAAAAAAAGGGTGGGGACCGTATGCACGCGTCGGGGTGACGAATCGCGTTAACACACCGGCGGCCTGCCATATGCGGAAAGAGGTAATCCACAAGTCGTCGATCGGCGTTCTCTCGCAGCGAAAGCCGGTATTATCCGCGGTAGGGATGGAAATGCGCGCATTAGAGCCGCCAACGTGCCACAATTTCGCGGGGGCGCAACACCCACTCCGGTCAATAGTTTTAACTCGCGAAAAACGTTAGGCCGCTTAAAACCGGCGCGTATACGCGTAACACGCACGCCGCCACGGCTCATCCGCGGCAATAATCCTCGCGCGCGTGCATACGCACGCACACGCACCGCGGCCATGAATATTTACGCCGAATCCGGGTAGGCTCGCCAACGCGGAGGACACACAACCCCGGCTATTTATTATCTGCTAAAATTATAACGTTCAACGTCATCGACGCGAGAGCCGAGTGCCCGTGTAATCGAATCCCCCGCGTATATAAATATATAATCGCAACGACGAACTCGCTCGCGTACACGCTCGCCCGGCCGCCCGGCCGCCCGCGTGCGCGCGCACGCGTGTTCGCAATTCATGCATCCATCCGATATTTCCGTATCGGCGGCAATTTACTGACGTACACGTGTCTGAAATTCGGTGATTGCACGTCGAACTGAATTTTCATCCCCCCAAGCCCAAGGTTTAACCGCCGGCCATCCGCTCGCCCGATCCGGCCAGGCCTGGCCCGGGTCCGGCGCGCGCGGTCCGGCTCGCTCTCCCCTGATACGCAATAATGAAGTGGGTATGTAATTATGCAATGTAATACCCCGGGATTGTGCCTAATTCGCGCTCGCGGCACCGCGGCTCGTATTATACGGCATCGACGACGAAATAATTTCGACAAATCCGAGTACGGTTCGGCGATCCGCGAATTTCCGCCGGGAGGCCCAGGGAAAGGAAGAGACTGTCCAAGGGGCGTAATTCATTGCCGCTCGTGCGTAAAGTACTGCATATCCGCGATTTGTTTGCTACGTTTATCTTTACCGACGGCCGTGCGCGCCACGGTTATTCACTAATGAGTGGCGGGGGGCGGATTAGGGACGAGGAGGTGAGGAAAGCGAACGGCAACTTTACATCCGACGGCGGCTTTAAAGTTGCCAGATATGAAACCACTTCGATAGGTGAAACGCTCATGGGATCACCGTCCGTCAGACATCGTCGACCCGAGGGCCATCCCAGGCGACTTCGCTTTCCATCCGGATATGGGAAACTATGTTGGAAATACCGAACACCGTCGGACATTCTTCATCATGTGGAAAATCAAGCTCCCCCCCGTCTCCTCTTCCTCCTCCTTCAATCGCGTACTTCCGAGCATTTCAATGAGGTCATACTGGAGTTTTAGACACGCCGCTTGGCTTTTACGTCACGCTCTTGAATCACATATCTCGGTAGTAGAGACGGTGATTATAGAAAACTTTAATGTAATACTTTGGTTTTAGGAAAGAGTCGTGCACCTCTGCGCCACTTCCCGTACAACCGACCCGTTGTTTCGTCCATTCGGACAAGTGAGTGTGTTACTTTCAATCATCCCGCGATTCTGGAACCTCGCAGATATCCCCGAGAAACTGATCGTTTGCATCTTTCGCTTGCTTTTTAGGCAGTAAACGAGCACCGGTTCGAGAGCTATCGCTAATCGCGAGGGCGGCTATTGATCGGTACAATTGGCGCTCGGCGAGCGTACAAGCGACGCACTATGAGGCTTCGGAGGCGAGGATAATGACACTGCAACGAAGACGTGCAAGGAAATCCAGAGAGTTAATTAGGAAGTACCACCGTATCAGTCGACGCGGTCGACCCGCTCTCCCCGCAGAAGACGGCGAGGAAGGATACCTGATGCAAGATGCACGAGGCGAGATCGGGCCGGGGAGAGGAGTATGGTTGGGCTGTATCTTATGTACAAGAGTCTTAATGTACACATTCGCGCGTCTTAAAGGCGAAAGTTAGTTATCCGAAGGTGCGCCAACTTTCGGCACGAAGAGCGTCTGCAAACGCGCTGCTCGGCGCCGCGTGATCCGTAAAGTTCGCGCTTATACCGAGATAATTCGCTGGGTACACCTTTTTCTATTCAATAGCGAGGCGAGGCAGGTGGAGGAGAGCGTACGGGGTTACTCGAGTTACTTACACGATTATGAATTTAACTTGAATGTTATAAATTTCGTTTCCCTCGCGACTGCTCATAAATTCTCGCGATCAATCAGACCGGCACGGCGCCGGGAAAGACCGTATTAAATTTTACGTTGATTAAAGACACTTTACACGAGTCGGTGCTGGATAGACGCGAGACGTTTTGTAGCACGAATTTGTTGGCGTTCTCTCTGGTTTTTTTTTATTAGCTTTCTCGAACGCAAATTTTCCGCCGAGTGTAAACAGCTTAAACGAATAAAGCACACTGTACTTTTCTTTCCGCGTCGCCAGTCGTTACGTCGTATATCAATTTCCCGCGAAAGCACTCGAAACAGATTTTCACTTAATGGCACACGCCCGGCACTCATAGCAATAAAGAGTTGAACGGTACGCAACCTCTATTATGCTAAAGTGCGAGCAGTTGCAAAACTCTCTTTTAACTGTCGCCTCGCCAAGTGTCGCAACGCGCACCGAAGAACCATATTTCTCCAAACGACGGGAAACTGTATGGTCGACGATGCAAAGGTCGGAAAAGAATCAGAAAAACTCATCTCCTCTTCGGCACCTTTGAATAATTTCACTATTAACTTAATGCCCGATACGCGACTCGGCTGCGACTAAAAGTTGCATCGCTCTCGTCCGTCGCGCCATTTATTCACAAATATGTAAACGAACAAAGATACGCGGAAATATTGAATCTCGCGTGCATTCGCTTCGCGCGGGGAAAAAAATGGGACATTTTATCTCGTCGAAAACATAAAAAGTATAATACGTACGTGTTTTTCACGGGATAGTAATTTACTTAGCAGTCGCAAAGTCAGGATCCGGAGCGAACGGGGCGACGTATCGCGCAGGGGATTCGATGTTAAAGTTTAATAATCGAGAAATGTTGGTCATATTCGAGCGGCCCTTTGGCAAAAATCGCGTGGCTGCGCAGCTCGCGAACTCCGCAGTTTTAATTTCACTTTGTCGAGATAGAAGCGGATAGTATCGGCGAAAAAAGAAATGAGCAGTCGCCCGTTTACCAACCCGCATATAGGCACCGCCGACGAGATGGGTATATACACGGATCTATTATTCATGCATGAATTTGAAACGCACGTTACACCAAATTGGTACCCTAAAGGGCTAACGTAGCGTACTGAATATTACAGGCGGTTTTTAACATGGAAATCAATTCCGCGTATCAGATTCATACATAATAGATGTAAAGGAGTTGTTTCACGGAAAAAAACCTATTCCACCGGGAAGTTTATGCTGAAAAGCCGGGCGCGGGGTGATGCAGCCTGATGAAAGGATCAACGGGGTCGATGGGTATCGGATGCATTAGCGTGTCATTATATTACCCCGTGTACAAAGGCGGAATAAACATTATCATTACCTCCCCGGTGATATCGCTTTATTGTGTAACGTAACGGATACCTGGAATTCCGCGATTCTGTAATTCTCAGTTAAATGTCTCCATCTCGGGCGCCAAACGGAAATATCACTGCGTCGCGTAATCTTAACGAAATGGAATCCCCCGTGCGTAAAAGCCCGGCATTCGAGTGTATTCTTCCCGCGTTCGATCTGAAAGGACTCGAAGGCGACCCGTAATAACGGGAAATTTCAGCCCGCGCGGCGCGCACGCGGAATTACCCGATAAACAACACCGAGCAATCCTTGCAAAACGCCCAAGTATTTCCGCGCCATCTTGTCGCGAATATTACGACGGGGGATCGAAATTTATCGTCGCGGCGGAGCGCCGTGAAAACGCCGCTTACGCTATCGCGGCATAAAGCGCGGACGTAATCTCGATTGCGTCCTTCCGCTTTCATATTCCAGCCACTTTTCCGCCGGTATACGATTTATACACAGAACACATGGCGACCCGGCTCCTGCGACAACATATCGCGATATCGCCGTTAATGGATAACGTCCGTTTAACAAATTTTCTTTCTTAAAGCGCCTGTCTTCGCTCGATACACCGTTTACAGCCCCGCCGAGTGTACAGCGGTTCGCAAGAAAAAGAGGGATGAAAGCACAAAGCGCAACTTTTCGTACTACGCTTGCACAATAATCAGATTTCGAGGATTTAAACGATTTTGACACGGGTGGTACGGGAAAAAGTTTCAATCCGCCGCTTTCCGCAATTAAACGTAGACATCCGCTGTCAGATACACTCACGTCGCTCCCGGTATTCTAAAACTCCGAATTCATAAATCAACATGCGCGATATTCCCGAGGAATCGAATCGCCGAGCGAGCAAAGCGACTCGAGGGTTCGATCCACGGGAATATTTGCCGTGGAAAATAATCGCGAAACAAAATGAGCAATCTAACTGGGACGAGAGTCTTACGACGGCAGTCGGTCGCACCGACAGCAGAGAATCGTAATAAACTGGGAACTCATTAACGTTCGCGATTATCGAATATCGGAAGTCTCGTGTTTAACATTGCCTTCCTGTAAACGCCGGCCATGCATGCGCGCGAGGAAAGCGAGGCCGGGAGGAAGGGTGGAAGGGAGAGAGAGAGAGAGAGGGAGAACGAAATAGTTACATGACAGGCAGACCGAAAGGAAATAGCTAGAAGCGCTGAAAAGGTATTCACAGCCAAACTCGACTACGGTGTAATTGGAATGTCAATTTCGTAACTGTATACTTTTGTAACCGCGGCGCGAGAGATTCGAGCAATACAGATTGGATGAGCAAGAATTCCAAACGCGTACTCCTCGACGACCGCGACTCCCTTTGTCAAAACGGTTTTCTAGTCGTGTAATATAGTACAGTAACAAGTCGCATTTGACGATTATATTTTTGCATAGCGAAAACAAGTTGAAAATAAACGAGAGCTCAAACGATTGGGCGGCTCTCGTGAGATATCCCCAACGTCCCGTGTCGCGTCAGATGATGAAAAGTCAAACAGCGTTCTGCTTAAACAAAAATAAAATACACGGAGTCGCGATATCCATAAAACATTGAGAACGAAATCTGGGCTAACGTTAAAAATTACCGCCGTGTCATCCTCCCAGCGAATTCCTCGTGTACGTGACAGACCCAGAAACAAAACGTCAAAATTCGCGTGCTCGGTAGCGATCCTCCCCCCCGTCCCGGCCGCGAGTAAACGAAGAAGCGGGGAAAAAAGGAGGAGAGACGAGCGCGGAGGCAGAGAGCGATCTATTGTTAGTTGCCGCGGGCGAAACGAGGTGGATCATCTTTCGGGCCAGTTAAAGTTTTTATCGTGGCCGACACGCCGACCATACGTCACAACCCGGTGGTTTTCCCTCGGCGAGTCCCTCCCTCCCCGCCCGCCTGGACTCGCGGTGGCTATTTATAAAGAAAAATTACGCCCTCGAGATCGCGTAATGAGCTCCCGCAGCAAATACGTGCAACTGTCTGTCTGTCGGCGGCGTTCCGGCGCGGTTAATAATAACGGGGCCTCCCTCACTTTGCCTTTCAACGGATACGTTTTACGTATTTACCCGCCCACGTTAACGAACGAGCGGGTCCGGCCGCTCTCCCGTGGAGGAGAGCGCAAACGATTAATATCGACTCCATTATTAGCAGGATCGTCCTAACAAAGAGTTATTTTCCCGCCGCTGCGACGGATCAGCGACGGACGAAACCCGACCCACGCGGCCCCCGCGCGCTCAATCTCCTCCTCACCGTTCATTTCCTTCGCCGGTATATATCTTGTATTGATATTTGTCCTCTTTTTTATTGCGCAGCTCTTTGATGGCGCGACGTGATTACTCTCCGTGAAAGTAAAGCGCTCGGTATTAAGCGCTCGTTAACTCTGTATGAAAGTTATGAGTCTCGATGAATTACCGTCTAGACATAGTACAATTTTGCCGCGAAGGCAGGGACCTCTGCGAATCGCGGCGGAAGCAGCTGTTTTACAATTAATACGGCTGCCGGCGTAGCGCCGATTCCCGCCGGTTTCAATTTCTAATACGGGTACGTGAATTTTTATCACGCGTGGATTGTTATAACATTAGAGTAGCCCGTTTATCGGCTATTACCTTCGCGACTTATATCTTTGAATCTTTGATCGACTCTAAATTATAACTTTATCGACGAAATACGGAATATTATACAGAACTCTGCAGATAAAAATCAATCACAACGTAAAAGACAGAATTGCGTTTGCGCCGGTCGCAACGTGTGGGTCGTTAATAATATTTTCCAACACAGCCATTAATTAAAAATGCAAATAATTGCGGCTTAATTTAATTACGTATGTAAACGCGCACGGATTAAAATTACGGTTCCGACCGAGCTGATTGAAATCTTTTACGTCAAGCATATAAATATTTTGCGCGAAATTACGGCTCGTTTGCTTTAAACAAAAAACACACGCGAAAAATCTATCGGACGATATTCAACGGCGAATAATGCGCGTTACGGTCCAATCGAGGGGGTGGAGGGGGGTTCCAGGTGCCGGATCGATGAGCGATTCTAAATATTAATCGGAGGTAAAACGTCGCGTTGCACGATACTCGCAAGACCTGGGCGAATTATCGCGTGCTCGCCTACGAATCACCGTCACGCTCGGGGGTGGAAAAACTATGGAGTCTACGGAGCAGCGTTCGGCGTGTCGCTTATTGGTATGCCGGCGACACACGGGTCCAATTTGGTTACCGGCGTCTGCGAATCGCCGAATATCATCTACTCCATTGAAATTCCGATATAGGTATGAGACGCGATATCGCATTTGTCTCCCTGACTGCGTTACCTAACGCTCGCATTTTGGCGCCTGTTGTTCTCCCATGAGAATGCGACTACGTGCCAATGAAGCGCGGCCGACCCTAGTTTTGTAGATTGCGTTAAATATCGTCGGCTCCTCAACTTTCAAGCGTCGACGCGGAACGACGGGTAAATAACAATGCAAGATCTCACGAAGGCGCGAGTTTATGGCGCGATAATACGCGAAATCTATTCCCCCGAGGGGGAAATTCTTAAGGGTATTTTTTACACAAGTTACGACGTTCTTATACGCAAAAGCGCCGTTAATTGCATCGCGAAGTAGTTTACGCGCGATACGAACAGTTTCGCGTATCTGGCGTACGTTATCGACCCGTGGATTCCATAAAACAGACGGGAATAGATTTAGATTCAACCCTTGCTGTACGACATTTCCGTCGAACGCCGCTGCTTCTCGAATACATTCACGGAGGCGCGTATGAAAGCGTGTCTAGCAATAAGAATAAATGTCAACGCGATTTATCCTTCCCGGGCAAGTTCTTCCTCGCTGCACAATGGCCATTCTTAGACGCCCAGTCGGACACATTCGCGCGGATCTACGTATAATGCACGCACACCGAGGGGGTGTGTGCGCGCCGAATATACGTCAAGACATCATGTCAAAACAAATCGCCGTGAATGGATTCGGTAGGTGTGTGTACTTGGAGGGACACCCTCGGAGCCCCACGGCAAGAATGAGCCGAAACGCATCGATCGTCACCGTGACGGCTATCGGTCGCTATAGGTCCCGTATGTTTTCGCGTGCCGACAAGGGCGGGAATCATGGCGAACGCTCGTAATTCTCTCCCATCTGCGGCGGAGCGCGCGGGTCAGACGGGAGAGAAAGGGGCGCCTTTCCCTACCCCCTGTCCGCGCTCTCCCGCCCCCCCCCCGCCCCTCTTACGCTACGCTCTTTCGCAGGGCATAGTGGAAGCACCCAGGGGCAATTGAAACTCACGGCCATTTACTGCATTTCAATAATGGTTTCCCATCTCCCTCCTGCGCGGCGGCTCTCCGCATCCCGCGTCCCTTGCCTCCTGCGCCTCTTACTGCACGCCGCCGCGTACTCCCCCCCCCCTCCCTCTCTCTCTCTCTCTTTCTCTCTCCTCCTCGCTTCACGTACGCGTGCAACACGAGAGCTCGGGTTGCACAGTCGATTTACTACGAGCTTTATGGTACACACCGTGCGAGAGCACGCAGAAGTACCCTACGGCCAACTATTCCCCCTCCCCGGCGCGGCGCGTCTCTCTACCATGGCAACTGTATTATTTCCCGTAAACTATCCCGGGCCACGCGCCCATGCACGCATGCATACACGCGCGCAGTAACGCAGCGATTTTTACGCTTCCCAGAAAGCTCGTTAGCGCGTCGAAAAGCACGTGGGCCACTATTTCCGCCGACGAGAGCGGCGCGGAACTCCACAAGCGCGCTCCGTTCGATCGTAGATCGCCGCGGTAGCGCGTATAAGCGAGCGAAAGTACGATACGCGGTAAGCGCCGCTGTGTGACTCAATAATGCGCCGGTCCGCGATCTAATTTTCGCCCCGGGGAAAAATCCAAATTGATGATTAATTTCCAAGCGCTCGCCGGACGTGCGAATCTTTTTACAAGCCGCTGCTGAAGGGGGCCGGCGAATTAGCGGTGAAACGTAAACCGCGAAATGAATATCGATTAAGCGATCGAGAGCGTCACGTTCTACAACACGTAGGATCATATCAGAAGCGCCATCGGAGACGGATAATTGAGATGGATATTGAATCGTCACATTTCCGTGGGCTCATTGCCGGCCCCGTGTACGGACACACTCGCACCAATCGGCCGTAGTTACGGTATGTAACGGGGTTTCAGTAAATTTCAAATCGGCCAAATCGCCCGCAGACAATGGGCGAAACAAATTTCGCCCATTAGCGGCCGACGGAGGATACGTGTCACGCTGCAGTTGTCGTCAATACAAATATCAGCTCGCGAGATGCGTCCATATTCGTCTGGGTACCTTCCATACGTTTCCCCTCCATACATATGCGCATATGTACGCGCGCGGATGCACGGAATAAAAAAAGAAGAGAAAGAGAGAGAGAGGGGGGGAGGGATTTATTCCGCAAAATCGCGACAAGTCCGGAAATATATATCCCGGACTATAAATATGGCGATCCAGATTGCAGATACGCTCGGCCGAATTGGGCGGATTTATCCATATCTTGGACAGGAACAGAGGAAGGAATCGAACGATTTCGAAGCCCATTTCCCTGGGCCGATTTGATCAGGAACGCGCCGCCACGCCAAATGAATTTTCCCCGTCGACTCCGCTCCGCACCGACAACACCCCGTCCGTCCCCTCCGCGATCCGGATTCTCGCCATTTTTACGGATGTGCGGGCGCGCGCGTCAAACGGAGCATACGTTGCATCCAGAATGCAGACAAAAGGGACAGACAGAATAAGAAGGCGAGGGCCGTGCACGTACACCAACGGCGCGCACGGGCCACACGTTATGTACATACAGACGCACGCGTCACCCCTGACACGTATGTAATTGCCTAGATTCGGACCGCGCGAAAAAAGGTGAAAACACGTCGAAAGCCGGGGACGGAAAACAGCTGTTACTCGGATAGCGGATTCCCAGGGAGTGAACTCTCGTGCGCTCGCATCAACCGGAACGAAGAATAATGCGTCGCGCGGAGAATGCTGCCGGGATTTAAATATAATAACCCGCGGCGAGCGCGCGATAAAAAATGTTTTCAAAAATTTATCTCGCGTATCCGTATCTCTCCGCACCTAGCGGGTCTAATAAATACGTCATACCTTTTAAATGTAACGGATATAAATTAATAAATTGCAGATTCCCCCGGGCCGCGCGAAAATTTCGCCCATTTAATTACGCGAGATTACGTCTTGAGGGGATCCTAAAGCCGCTAGCGAACTCGATCGGTGTCGACAAGATGGGAGACGGAATTAAAAACGTCAATTATCGACACTTTTTAATTCCAAGCTCTACTCGGCCCGAGAAATTTATAGCCAAGTAATTTGCAACTTTTACGAAAAAGCAACAATTTTATTAGCTACACGTTGCTCAGACCGTGATTTTGGATCGAATTCTAGCATCGTCGACACCGTGGCTTTACTGACAATCTGACAAATGTTTGGCAGCGACTTGTCTCGAAAAAGCCCGCAACTATTTCACCACGCCATACTCTTTTTCTCTTCGTCTAAACTTCGATTCATCCCGAGTTCATGTATAATTAACCACGTTCTTTGACGGTGATTATTGTTTTCAGAAGACGTTATTTCCGTGTATTTATTCAGGATCGGGAGGCTATACGATCTCACGACGTACGCGCACCTTGCGTAATGCGATGCACGTGTTTATATACATATAACGTGCATGCACCCGGAACCGTGGACGGAGGATCCGAGCCTTATGTACGCAGCTCGCAACAGGGGTATTTCCCCTCGTCAAATAACAAGTTGTATACATTCAGAGCTCAATCACGCGTATTATCCAGTATTCTGCGGACCGCCTCCGTACTTCGACAATCCGGAGCATCGACGAACGTGAAACGCATTCACCGGGTGAACCGAGCCAGATAGGTACCCAAGTACGACTATTGTCGCCCTCCTTATAATTTACAATCATTTCTATCAGTTTCGTTTCGATTTAAAAATACGACGACAGTTGAATTGATATAAACAGATCTCGTCTTAAAATTCATTGAACCCCATTTATATTTGAGAGGAATCTGAGTATCCTATCGGAATTTGGGGGAAAAAACAATGCGCAAACATTGAAAAACGTTTCAGCGCTTCTTAAAATATTAGATGACCTCTCAATTGAATTCCCTCTTATTTGCACAGTGATCTCACATGTGCACGGTAAATGTTTTGACATCTTCCTAGATCACCTGGTATATGCGCTTCCCGCACGTGCACACGTACGGTGCATCCCTCGAATTTTCAATCCGCGCTCGCCAAGGCACGTCCAAATGATAGACTCGGCCTACAAGAGGAACGACGACAGGTCCGGATCGTTATCGATGTCGGGATATATCTATCGATGGATCAACCGCCGATAGCCGGCGGAAACGGCGGACCGTTTCGCACGGGGGAGTGAGGAGCATCGCGGGCGCGCGTTCGCGTACGTGTGTAGTCAGTGCGATTCACGGGAGGGTGTAATAGACGATGTAATCGGCATCCTACGCGTGTAGCGCCGTGTGTACATACAAGGGATTGTCTAATGCGGGACATGTGTTAGGTGATCGAATTCTGCAGCGCGAACCTCGCGTTTCGCGCCGCGCTCTTTCACCGCTGCGTACAGGCGGGAATTCAAGGGAGATAATTCTTTGTTTCTCGCGGCTTCCAATTGAAATTTCGGCGATACGCGCGATCGTCGAAACTTTAATTCCAACTTTAAAGTCGTCAATGGGATCGATTCGCGCGCAAGAAATGAATGCTATCGATTGTCACGTGATCGCGAAGCCGATCACGCCGTCGTAAAGTCGAAAATGAAGCGAATCATAAACTCGCGCGACGTATTTATGAATCTGAATGTAGCAGCGTTTCGGATAAAATTTTAATATGCAGAGGCTCGCATCTATTGCTTCTATAAAAAAATTGACGTTCGCAGTCGCAAGCCTCTCGATGTCTCGTCAGACTTCTGGATGAGGTAAGACGGAAGAGTGAACGGTATCTTGTAGTTTATTACACTATTTTTATACAAAAAAAGACATAACATGTAAATAGTCATCGTGTAATAATCATATAATATGTATGATCATTACTGGCGATACTTACTGACTACAGAATCTTCACGACTTCCTCTTTGTTTTCATTTGCGTCCTACGGCTCTTTCCTAATCTCTGCTTTCCCTTCCCACCCTTTCCCCTTCTGCCGTCTCCCGGCCTCGTCGGTCGTCTGTACTCGGAAACGTCGGCCGAGCTGCTTTTCGTGTTCCATTTGCTACCACGCTTTTTACCTCCGTAACCATACTTGGCCGCCTTCGTTTTCACCTTTAACTGCGCCTTCGGATTCATCCCGCGACCCGCGTGTTTACCCTGCGGCTTCTTCTTGTCGTCCAAGAAATCGAGATCCTTCCGTACGCCCTTACGATACTTCTTAACCTCTTCCATAAATTTCCTCTTCTCCGCGTGCTTCTTTAGCGTCGTCTCGATCTGCGTCTGCTTCGCGACCTTCTTCTGTTGTCTCAGCTGCCTCACTTTCTCCGACCTCTGCGCTATCGCCTGCTTCTTCATCAAATTCTCCCGCACTCTCTGCATGTGCTGGTCGGACTTTGCCATCTCGGCGAAGTAATCGTCCGGTCTAGACGTCACTATACCGAGCTTTCTTAGCCATAAGATACCATTCATAACAGCATCCTGGGCTTGACGGTGAAACATGTTCTCCCTACGAAAGTCATTCAGGACAGGATCCTCGGACGGCTTGTACTGAGGTAACTTCCTATTTCCCTGCAGCTGCTTGGCCCGCCTGATCTCTTGGTCCTGCATTTGAAGCACCAATTCCGGGGCCAACGGTGCGGGCGCGTTTACCATATCCAACTTCTCGACCCACGGCAAGTCCAGCTTCATCTCGTCCACCTTTTGCTTCATGAGACTCTAAAATTTATACAGGAAAAATTCTAGTTAGGTTAGGTTGCGTCCAGAACGTGCAGCGGCAATTTTTGCTGGGGCAATCACTTACGACGCAATTCCTGGGTTGCTTGTCCCTCGTCTTGACCGCGACGTTGAGCCCTGGCTTCAGTAATCCCTTCGCGAAGGCATTCTGCAGCTGGACACGTGAGTAGAACGAGGTTAGAGCACGCGCGATCACTCGGCGGTAAGCGCCAAGCGGAAATAGCGATACTCACCTCCTCGTCGGACGAAATGTACTCCGAGTCCGATTCCGATTCCGATATCTCTGACATTGCGAATAACTCACTGTTACCTTTGCTGAACTGCGATCAACCGGCAGGACACGATCCCGAGCGACAACACCACGCTATCACGCTGCTCTCCAGTTTCCGCTGGTAAACGGGCCTCGACGGCACATGCAGTGACATATGGTGGAGCAATCTGGAAGTTTATTCGCAAGGTAAATACCGACCGGGTTCGACGGAGACGCCTCCTCTTCCTTATCCGCCGCGACAAATGTGCCCTTTGCGTCGAGTTTTATTTCGTAGCCAAGCACGTTTCCTTTACGCGTATTTGTACGTGCACATAAATTTCCTGTCCCTTTACGTGTAAATTATAATTTGTGAATTTCTTCTCGCAGCCAGATAAGCATTTCTTTCCGTCGGTTACGTGCGACCTCGACCGAACTCCGATTATGTTAATCAATTCCAGATAGTTCGCAGCAAAATTTCCGCAATTCGTGACCCCCGATCTAATATGTCTCTTTCTATCGAGGAACCAAAGGAATTAATAATCCATTATTCGATCCGCGGCTAACAGGATATACCGTTGGCTCAAGTGAATCCAAGTGCGGCCGAGGTCTCCGTGTTTCCCGCGCAATTCGTTAATCGTCATTGTCGAAAGTTAAGAGCGCACTGCGCGTCGCAATTTCCATATTCACCTCCGATAAGAACAAGAATAACTTTGAGTGGAAGCGGGGCTCGTTCGGATACGGAAAGGGACGCCTCGGAGAAATGTAAGATGGCGGACAAAAAGTCGGCAATTACGAAAGTGCGCTCGCGCGCGGCGTAAAGGTGCTATTACATGGAAGCGTCGTGCGTCGTGCGTCAAATGCGCGCGCAGCACCTTTGCGCAGATGTCTAAACGTTCAGATTTCAGCGTCTAACGCTAAAAATGGCTAGTGGCACGTGGTGGCACGTCGATAAACGCCGTAGAGGTTAAGGTATACACTATTAACATAGAAAATTTATACGTAATCATATTCCGTACAGATATTATTATTTTTGGTAATATTTATTATATAATTCCATGATTATTTATGGGTATTATATAAACCATGATTACGTGTTCTAATATGCGCCAATTGCGGAATTACATAATAAATATTACCAAAAATAATAATATCTGTACGGAATATGATTACGTATAAATTTTCTATGTTAATAGTGTATACCTTAACCTCTACGGCGTTTATCGACGTACCACCACAGTGCCACTAGCCAGCCATTTTTAGCGTTAGACGCTGAAATCTGCACGTTTAGACATCTGCGCAAAGGTGCTGCGCGCGCGTTTGACGCTTGACGCACGACGCACGACACTTCCATATAATGCCTGTGTCCAGCAGAAGTTAGCGCTTGCTAAGCGCTTTGCGTTCATTGGATTATACTTTCAGATCTGTGCTGAAATAGAGCTATTCTTCTAGATCTATCCAATCAGCATAAAGCGCTTATTAAGCGCTAACTTCTGGAGAACACAGCCAATAGCACCTTCAGATTTGCGTTTCTGCCTCCTAGCCACCGCGGTAGTGGGGGATGGTGCGTGGTGGAAATTCGGCACGCACACAATCAGGCGGTCGTATAGCGGTCGGCGGGCTACACGACCGCATGATTGTGTGCGTGCCGAATTTCCACCACGCGCCATCCCCCACTACCGCGGTGGCTAGGTGGCAGAAACGCAAATCTGAGATCACTGCTGCGCTCTCGTTCAATTCGGCATCGACGGGGTAAGCGAGCGGCGACGGAACGGAAGGAAAGGCCGAGGATTGCGGGAATCCAGCGGGATCCAGCGGAATCCGCGCAGGCGGCTCGGATTAAACGTAATTGTAGGAAACCGTTCGACATTAGGTATTGTTTTGTATTTTATTATTTGCGGCCGAA